AATAATTAAGAAATATTATAAGTCTTGTAAACTAAAAACAAGCAAAACTTTAAAAACACCAAGAAAAAGTTTAAACACTAATTAGTAATCTCCAAAATTAATAATTTGATTAAACTACTTCTTGAAATCCTTACAACAATTATATCTTGAAACATAATTTTGTCAATTATTAGTTTTATCTTTCTCAACCATCTATCTTTAGGAATAATTTTATCGATTCAAATCACACTAATTGGACAAATATGCAAAAATAGTGGTCAAACTATTATTTTATATTATTTATATAACTAATACACGGTTTTTAGAGAATTTAGAAAAGTAGGAACATGGTGTTCAATATATGTTTAAAATTTTTATTTAATATTGTTACAAAATTTTTTTGAGCAAAAGACTCACTTTTTTTGCTAAAACTCATTTATTTTGCAAAACTTTGCTTAAGCTGATCGAAAAATCAACCAAATCGACATTTTAATTGAACTCTGAAATGTGTTTTTCACGAATTTTCATTCATGAAAAAATATTATTAAAGGATGTTGAAATAACTCATTTTTCCTAATTCTTAAGTTATTTTCCTAGAAATAATTAAAATTATATTGTAAAAATCTTAAATTTTTTCTGACTGTTTGACATATGGCAGTTTGTTATTGGAACACTCTGTATAGATGTTATTTTCTAAGAATTAAATTTATATAATAAGCAATAAAAAAGAAGAAATTGAGACAAAAAAATTAAATTTCAATAAAATCAGCAATTCCTTTTTGTGCATTGAAAAAATTACACTTGCATAAATTTTGTTTAATTTGAATTATGTAAATTAATTGAGTATTTCACATTAATTGGACACAAAATTAACCATTTTTGGTCAAAACTAAGGTTTTTTGTGCGCTTTAGTACATTTTTGACCTAGAAAGTGACTTATTTTTGTGAAATTTGTAAATTTGTAAAAAAAATTATTTATTCCGTGATAGTTGCCCCAAAGTGGCCAAAAAGTCAACAGTTTATGCATAAACTTGTTTTATATTTATATAAAAAAACTAATACACGGTTTTTAGAATACCTAAAAAAGTAGGAACAATATGTTTAATATTTTTATTTAATAGTGTTACAAAAACTTATTTTTTCCCTGAACAAATTAATTATACAGGGTGTGTCAGAACTCGCGCCGCAGAAAAAAAATTCAAGTAAGATAAAATACCAAGAACATGGAAAAAATGTTTAAAAATCGTCAAAAAATTTTATACTTTATTATATTTCTATTTTGTTTTTTACCGTAGACATACTGTACGGTGTTGGAACTGAAATTATGTTTTTGTTTTTTGTTATACAGAGTGAACAAAAATATGGAACCAAGCAAAATGACAAATGATATCGTTTTTCACAAATCACATTTTTGAATTTTTTGCCATTTTTAAGTAAGCAACAAATAGTTTGAGAAAAACCCAAACACACCAAACCTTTTTTGAATGTTAGCACGTGTTTTGTCAACCAAGCTGGCATCGTCAGGACAATAAAATTTTAAGTTTTCTGTTTTTTTTTCTAGGGCCCTCAAATTTTTTTTTATCTCGATTAAAAAAATCTACACTCACCATTTCACGCATTTATACGATTTATTATTACTATTATTATTGCTTTTTACGGTGCATAGGAAAACGTAAATTAAAAGAAAAACATGTAATGATTTTTTACAATAAAAAATCGAAAGAGAAAGAAAGTTATGTTGTTTAATTTTTTTTTTGTTTTATTGTGAATAGACATCTACACATTTTTCAAGTGTAATTCAGAAAGCGAAAGATATATTTCAGAAAACTTTAATTCTAATTTAGATTAGTCAATTGTATTTCAGAAAGTGTTTATAAGTTATAATTCAGAGTTTGTCATTTGTAAATGATAATTCGTCAATTGTAATTCAGAATTCGTTATTTTCATTTAAAAATTACATTACCAAACTTCCTTTGAAAATAAAATATCTTATTTATTCTGTAAAATGGCAAGTTTATGTAATTCTTTAATTCTGAAAATAAAATAATTCGTGTTTATGTGTAAACCTCATTTTGAGATAACACTAAGTTACTCATCTGAATTACAATTGATATTTTCTGGATTACATGTATTTACTGTTCTGAATTACATGTAATGGTTTCTGAATTACAATTATTACTTTATGAAATACAATTGACTAATCTGAATTACATCTCATGGTTTCTGAAACTCATTTTACTCTTCTGAATTACAATAAACACTTTCTGAAACACAATTGAATAATCTAAATTTTAGTTTACGCTTTCTGAAACTATAAATTGACTAATCTGAATTAGATGTGATGGTTTCTGAATTACACTTGAAAAAGTTGTAGATCAAAAATCCAAGACCAATTACTTTTATTTAACTTTAATTTATTTCAAACAAGAAGCAAAATCTTACATTTAAGCAGGTTTGTGACAAATAAGAAAAACATTTAAGGAATAAAAATGTGTTTTTAAGTTATCAAATCTAAAAATTGGCTATTTCAAAAGTTTACAAACCAAAATAAATCAGCTTTTTGAGCATTTGGGAGCTTAATATTTGCTTGCGAACAAAGCTAAGAGGAATTAGTCAAACCTGATTAACTCCCGTGGCCGCAGTTTGAAGAGGACAATCTTCTTTGTAACTCCAATCTTCGCCGCTTCGGTAAAGCCAAAGACCAAGAAGAGGCTTTCCGGAGCCACTCATTTCTTATTATTCTCGTAAAGACCAACAGGTTTGTAACGATTACGATTCTCGTATCAGCTTTTATAAACTCAACATCGCGGCGGAAGGACTGGCGCAGAATCCTTAACTTTGATTGGCAGAATCACAGTTTATGGCGATTCTTTGATACAATTTTAGCTTCTTCAATGTCACTCACACCAAAAAATATTTCTTATTTATTAAAATATTATTTCTGCGAAGATATTTCACGAGATCATGCTTTATTTAGTTCGTATTCAAGAAAATTGAATTTGTGTTTCAAGTTTGAAATGCACTTGACGCTGGGATTAAATTATCTTGAAGCTTCTCGGATATGTGTTATCTTTTCAAGACACGCGAAATGTTTAGTTCTCGAGGAATTAAAAAGAAATATAACGCTTTCAATATGTATTAGCTCCCTCTTCCTATCAAATGGAGAGAAATTGATAAAACGAAGAGTGGGAGGTATCCTGAATCTGAAGTAGAGTAATTGAAACGATTCTACCTCTTTGCTGAATAAACCATAAACTTGCTCTTCTATCCGCAGTCTCTCGTGAAAAGCACGTTTTTAGTATGGTAACTTGATGGAACGGATGGAAATTCCTTTAATGTTTCACCGATAAAATAAATTAACATTGTGCATGTGAGCAAAGAATTTATTGTAAAAAAAATCGAGTTTAGAAAATGATTTTTTAAATATTTTAGGTAATTTTCAGTTTTTTTATAGAGGTTTTAGTGGTGGAGGCGCCGGGTTAATGCAAAACTAAACTGAAATCGAATAAATCCATAAAAAATTTTACTTCAAAATTGATCCATTTAACGTTTTTTACATTTTTAGAGGTCATTTCTTAAAAAAATTATATTTATTTTTGCTACAGGCTATAGAAGAATTATGGACTTTTGTATTTTTACTAAATAATTATAAAATATTGTCAAATGTCAAAAATGTCAAAATTTTTTGACAGATAATATAAACATTTTTTCTATGTTTCTAGTGTCTTACTCACTTAGTTTTTCTCTGGGGCGCTAGTTTTGACACACCCAGTATTTAACAATTTATAATATTTATTGTTTAAAACTTTGTTATGTACCGGCACCTCCACTATTAATCGTCACTTTTTTTTGGTGTCATTTTTTTAATTAATGTTTTTTTTAAACATAATAAACTATTTTTGATAATTTTGAACCAATAAGTGGTTTTTATATTTTATTTAAAAAAATCTATTGTTAACTAACATGCAAATACGATATCTATAAGTGTAAATACGTGTTGTAAATTATAAATATAATATTGT